GGAACCTGCAGCACAGGCCATTCTGTCGATGCTCTTGTAGGTACCTTGTTTTACATGGTGATTCTGAACAAGGATGGACGTCCTTGTCTGTGTTCGCCCCTTCCATTTTGACCGCATCTTGATCCGCCCTATAAGCACCAAGGAAACCCTTGCCATTTCCGGGCAAGACGTCCGATGGGTAGATCACTAGGGGACACCTTTTTTCGCACAGGAGCTGAAGGACTATTCTTTTATTGCGCGGAGTGCTTGCCGGCTCCATGCTGGCGACGCAGAGACGGTAGTGCCCTGGTCGATACGGAAGCCATAAGAATGATCAATCATACATTGGTCGCCTGTCTGACACCGGAGACTGTCCCTCCCTGAGCCGGCCATTTGACCATGGATAGACGCAAGGCCGTCACTGATTCATAGATACAGAAATATTCCTTATCACTGCAGTTGTTAAATAATTTGCAGACTCCAGATCGGTATAACAGATCCCTGGCTGAATTCGGATGGAGAACCCTCAGTTCAGCCTCATCGTAAACTTCCACTCTCCTTGTCAGAGGGCCCCGACCAATGCAAGAGACTCTCTGGCGTTTGGAATGCCGTCCCTCTCCTGTTCAGAAATCGTTACCCAGGCCGAGTCGGGGCCTTTTGCCGATACAGGATCCTCTGTTAAGCACTGTGGGCCCCTGACCTAGAAAGGGCCCTTATTCCTTCAGGGGATCCCGGCCAAAGCAAATCGCGCGTCCCGGCCTTGCCCCTGCTCGGCAGGTGGGCCTAAGGGCTCAGACCGAAACAAAGCCGACTGCTCGGTTTGGTGGTCTCTGATCGAAAAGAGGCCCGCTTTGTCCCCGGTGCCCCCAATCGGTGTAAGAGGCCCTCTCACTGGCATCCCATGGGTCGGCCCTGCGAGCCGGGCTACTTAACGCAACCTACAGCCAACACGTGGTGTTCTGCAGTGGGGCACGATCGTCGGTGTCAAGGGGCCCATCGATCTCCTCTTCAGGCCCCTTCGAACACTGTCCTAGGCCGACTTTGCGTTCTTTGCCAACGCAGGACCCGTGTTAGGCACTGTGGTCCCCTGACTGGCACAGGAGCCACGGTCAGGCGTGTAACCTGAGTCTTGGCAAAAAGGCGGGACAGGGCTGACAAAGGCCCCCTGATAGTGAAAGACGCTAAATAAAAACGAAGAAGTCTCCGGAAAAGATCCATTTCTTTATAAGGACACGCGCCCATTTCCCATTTTTAATTTTTCCTTCTTTAACTGGAATAGAAGCCAGAAGCCACAGCCAGATAAATTCTATCGGCACTGCATAATCAATGAAGTGAAGAAACCATGCGTTGAACAATTGCGTGAAGTAAATCGCCGCCCCCCCCCCCCCCCCATTTTGCAGTGGTCCGGTAAATTCTTTTTGAAGTGATCGAGCTCAGAAGCTCCACCAGCATTTTATCTGGATTCTACAGGGGTATTACGGACCCCGAGAAAGAAGATTGTCAATCGAAATTGGTCAACAATTTGTGTTAACATGGCCAAGCCATGTTTGCCTGAAAATGTTCAACATTCAATCAGAATCAGTTAGAGACGCAACTTATGTAACGTAGCTTCCAACCTCCGCGCTCGCAATCCTTAGCAGCTAGGACCTCGACGTCAGGCGTTGCAGTCTTCATAGGCCGCGCGGCATCGACCCCGTGACTAATATTACCCCGTGGTCAATGAGTGGGCGAAAATGATGACGCATCTGAAAAGCGCCTTTGAACACTTCATGACAACAAATCGTACATGTAGAAGATAGCCCGTGCGTACATTTTACCCACGCGATTTTTAGATTGGTGATAATCACGGACCAGGCTTCACAGCACCGTGAAGTGGCGCCGGAATCTGGTGGTGGAACTGGAGGAGTATATGTTTTTTTGTGCTGCTTTGGCAGATTATCTGTCCAGGGGAAAATCTTATAGTTGAAAAGATACGCCCAGTCTACTCCTTGAGCGGTGCGACTTAATTTTGAAAGACATTCAGAACCGTTACTTCACGGTGGTCGTTCTCGCGCGTTCAGTGCCCGCTGTATGGCGTTACTTGCATTGGTTAACGTCGTTCGGTTTTTCAGAGTACCCAGAACATCGTTGTCCCTGCTCCCGAGGTTTCGGACGCGCAGGCTCAAACCTTTTAGTGTAATTGGTTTGGCTGATGAACTCTGCGCATAAAGTTATTGCTCTCAAGCGAACATGGGATGATCTCACTCGTTTTTGAACTCGTTCCGATCCACTCTGTTGAACACTAATGAGGCCCTCAATATTGTTCCGGGCAGGCGTCCCCATGAGTAGAACACTAGAGGGTACATATTGTTCCCGGTCAAGGGCTGAAGGGCCATTCCGTTCCAACGTGGAGTGCCTTCCGCCTGCCATTCTTGCGACACAGTGTGGGGTCCCTTGGTCGATTCGGGGGCCCTTAGAGGAATACATCGTATCACATTGGTCTCCCCCCCCCCCCCCCCCCCCCTGTCCTGTCGCGGGAGATCTTCTGACCCGCGCAGTTGGCCCCTCATTGACGCAGGAACCCTCACTGACGCAACAACATCCCTGATCGCTGCAGGTGGTTCAATAATCGACACATAGACACCAGTTCGGCTTAACGGGCCCATGCTAGAAATGGGTTGTAGGGCCCACCGTTCGGTGCTGGGGACCCTGGCTGGCACAGGACCCTTCCATTGTCTCAATGGGAGCACCCATCATGTGCTCGCATGTTTACTTTCATTATCCGAAGGCCCGATCAACGCAAGAGGCCCTCTGTCATTCGGGGTCCTGCCCCGTCCCTGTTGAGCAAATGTTCCCCGGACCGACTTTGGGCGACTTGCCACCACAGGATTCCTGTTAGGCACTGCAGGTCCCCGACCGACACCCCCAGATATCAGACGCCTGAATCATGCAAATCTCAGCCTCATCCATGGCTCGTGCTTGAGAAATGGGTTCCCAAGGCTCAGACGACACGCAGCCGACTGTACGGTGTTGGTGATCTCTGGCCGAAACAGAGGCCGCACTGTCCCAGCGGTTCCCAATCGATGCAAGAGGCCCTCTGACCGACATTTGGGGGTCACGGCTTTACAGACAGAAAGGCATCCTTAATGTAACAAACGACCGGTCCTTTGGGGCCGTGACCTCACCTCAAAAGGACGATGGGCCTTTCAATCGGTCCTTGATCTTTGGTCCCTGGGGCCATTCAAGCAAAGCCCGTGAGCAACTCGGGGCCACTAACCAGCATATGACTCTTTGTTAGGCGCTGTGAGTCCCTCACCGACACAGGGGCCTAAGCCATTGTTTCAGGGGCCGAAACCACTGCAAATCGTGGCCCCTAACCCTCCTTTTGCCTGAGAAATGTTCCCCCAGAGTTCAGACTGACAGGGAGCCAACCGTTCGGCGGTCGTGATCTCTGGCCGACTGAGACACTCCCCCCCCTGGGGGGGGGGGGTCCTCAAACGGTAGAGGGAGGGGAGGGGGTCATAGGGGGCACGTACCCCTATGACCCCTTGCCTGCGGTACTGGCCCCGGCCAATGTAAATCGCGGGCCGTAATCTTGTCCCTGCCTGGGAAATAGGTCCTCAGTCCCACACCTAACGCGTGAGTAATCCGGTGGCGAATCTGTCGGGCATCACGCTCGTTAGGCCTCCTCCACAGCGTCGTAGCTTCGCAAAATAGGAAGGATGGGGCTGAGTGGGGAAAACCTAGCCCAAAATACACTAGGAGACTGTTTCTGGAGTTGGCCCCTTTGATCCCTGCGTTATGATGTTTAAGCCCGCCCCCCACCCCCTTGAATAGGGAAATACAATCCAGCTGTTATGCGTGTCCTCAACCTGCCTCAAAGGAAGATATTGTCGTGGGGCACCATCATCATGAACCTTGGCGGCGATTGTCGAAACCAAGTTTCGGGAATCAACGTAGAATAGATGTGATGTGACTTCGAACGTTGTTGCACGGGGAGAAAAGGGGTTAAGTTGATGTGCGCGACTCTTAAAGGCTGCCATCGAAACCCCCGGCTGGTAGCGGCAAGGCGAGGTGTAGGCTGTAGCGAAGCACTCATGTTTGCATGTAAGACGTGGGTAGTGCTACTTTGGTGGTCATTGTTGGACGATTATCGCTATGGGTTTAGCCGGCTGGTGTTGACCGTGGGGTCTGCGTACCTTTTCCATTAAATATTCATGCCAGAATGAAGGTCGGCATACCTCAATGGCTCTTCCGAGCATAGACAACTGTCATCTTGGTCAGGCTTTTGGGTATATTTATTCCACCAGTTTGTTTTCGCGTTCCAGTAGCACGGTGTGGCGAATTGACCCAGCTTTCTGCAATGCGTAGAACTCGTAGCATCGTTGAATAATGCCAAAACGCTCAGACCATAGCACAAAATGCAGACCAGTGCCCATAAGCCGTATCAAGAGTGTCATTACGTGCATCTAGCATGTAGGAAGAACAGAAAATACTCAAGTAGTTATGACGGTACGAGAGCAAAGCTTTACAATGTGGTTGCCTCAGTCGGCATCACTCAACTGAACGTGAGATCGCATTTCTCATTTTATTTGTTCTTTCTAGCTTAACGCAATGCCTAAAAGGTTGGGGGAGTCACCGCGGGGAAGAATTCTGACATTGGGTAGAACAACGGTCCACCCAAAACAGTATAAATCGACACTTGTGTCCCAGTTGTCTGATCAGTTATTGTTTTGGACAGCGGGATTCGGTAATTCCTATTAACAGTGGCCTAGTGTTAAAGAACGAAATGTAGTAAACTGAGCAGTATAAAAAGGACCAAACAGATCTTTTTTTCTGCCAATCAGTTTTAAATAAGCTTGATCTTCTCTTTTCGTGGTTCACTGTCATTATTTTCGGCTGTCTTTCCATCTTCAAAATTTCGATGCCCACAAACAAAAAGTTCGTGAAACTAGCCGCAACTTTCAAAAAGGGACATAAGCTGCGCTTTGGCGACAAACATCACCAGTGGAGATAATCTGCATCGGAATTCGTTGGAATCACGGCTGCTCGATCAGTTTGCACCGCTCCAGACAATGGTCTGAGACTCCACAATCTGCTGCTGGACGATCGACGGTGAGTGGTCCGATCGAATATAGAATAGCACTGTTGAGATTTAAGAGCTTCTGGCAGGTGTCTGATTGATGAAGTATCTCCCTTAAATCTGCATGCTTTACATCCATTCGAAAGCTCTCCTTTCTCAGCATGCAAGTTATCCATGATGTGAATGCCAGCCAAAAAACGCTGGCGGCCTTGAACATGTATGTTGTTGTGACAGAATTATGTTCATAATTTCACCACCACGTGTGCAGCATACCTCAGTGCTCCCAGCTAGGTGAGAGACTACCACAAATTTGAGAGCATGCGGTGGTAATACCAAAATGAAATAAGGCTCATGCTGCATGGCTGCCTAATGGTTCAAAGATTAGATGGAGATTGTCACAATAATACTGGTGAATTTTCTTACCCCCTGAATGATTCCAGTGTAGTGTTCACATTTTGGGTGACAACACTTGTTTATTTGTGGTAGAACCCAGTTGATTATGGTTATTGTTTTCAGGGATACATAGGAGAAGAAAATATCACTAATACCTTTGCATATAGCTGCTGAGCTGCATCACCTTGAAAAGTGGCACCATGGATGAAGATGATTTACTTCCTTGTGTGAGTAGTAGTGGCATATGTGCATAGTAAGTCATGATTAGTTGGACATGCTTGACGAAACCAACTAACTACAGGTCTCAACAGTCACGGGCAGTTGCTGTGTGACCAATCACAGTTGTCCCCCAAAAACTGGCAGTGGGAGCAGTTTTCTGGTATTTTGATGTGCAATGAGGGTGTGAAACAACATGAGGTATAGAAGTCTTTTTGATGAGACAATTCTGGGCACAAACAACCACTGTTCACGTAGCCTTGAAGCCTCATCACTTCTAACACTAGTGCAACAGATCAAAGGGTGCTTGTCTGATGCAGTTTATTCAGTAAGTAACACACCAAACATTTTCAGGTGGTGAACATCCCAGGCTCCCGACATGCAAGCATGAATGTGGTTCTTGGCTGTGACAACAATGCTGTCCTTCATGCGGTCGACTATGGAGCCAAAGCTGGAGCCATGGAGAAGTCTGGTAATCTTCATTGTATTGTGAATGGACTTAGACATGTTACTAAGCATGCATCTAGTGAATATTCCACAAGAGCATTGGATATGCCTTTTACAGCATCTGTTAAGCCCCATTCTTCTGTGAGTTAGTTCTCTGCATATTGTAGCATAGATGTGTTACCAAGTCTGCATTCATTTAACCTTCTGCATGATGATTGGATATGTCTTGTAAGGTGTTAAACAGACAGGTGTGGAGGATCAATTTGACCCTGAATATTTTAAAAATAACTTGAATGGTGTAGCCACACTGCAACAGACATTGTACAGCTGAAGGCACCTGAAAAGTCCATCTCTTGGCATGCCAAAATGATATGCCTCATAAGGCAGCTGACCTGTAGTAGGCTTAGTCCAGGCTATGGCTGTCAATGGTGGCAGTTCCTATGGGATCGTCCAGTCGGGTTTTACAAGTGATACAAGTGTTAGGCGAAGCCATACACGCTTGAGATGGTTCCTCAACAATTGCAATTAAGATTATGGCCAATTCACTTGAACTCAGGTCAGGTATGAAGATCATATCAAAGTTCAAACCTAACTGCCACATTACTGGAGAACTAGGATTATGGGACAGTTTTTCATGCTCATTTTGAATCCCTGGCTTACAGGAATGTCAACAGACAACTGACGTAGAGTAATGGCTTGATTCAAACACTAGTGACCTTTAACTTATACGAGGTGCCTAAGGTTCAGGTTTTGGAATTTTCCTTTCGACTTGGGCTGGAATTTGATTCCGCAATCTCAAATTGACCATGGACACAAATGGACTAGCAACGTAACAAAGGTTCAGATTTTTACATCGATATAGACTCAAGTCAAATTGAACCGACTGAAGATCACGTGACAAAAACAGTGTTGTGGCAGTAATCGTGGACTATTGCAGCGCCAACCGACCTTGCTGAATGCAAATCGCGTGGAATGAACATTGCATGGTGAACTGAAAACTGTACCGAATGGGATAGTCACATTCAGTTAAGTGTCCGCATGTTCCTAAAACAAAACGTTGACCTGGGTCATTTTAGGTCAGTGGTGAATTCTGGCCTTTTCTTTATGCATATATATATATATATATATATATATATATATATATATATATATATTCCCTGCCATTCTACAAATACGTCAAATTTGGCGCGGCTTTGCCGCGCCCTTCGGAAACCATTGCGGAAAATCATCGGGGGGGGGGGGGGGCAATTTGACCTCCACCCGAGCGCGTGTCAAAAGCATACTAAAATACGTATGGAGTGTGTGTGGAGATGGGGGAGGGGAGGGGGTACATGGTACCTAAACGTCTTGATACTTTGCTGGCAGTTGCACCTTTTTTGGTTATTTTCTTGCTGTGCTGGTGAAGACGGCTAACAGTCGTTCGCTAGAAAATACGTATAGTGCGATCAGGGAAAGGGTGCTTTTCCGATGAATCGTTTAGAAACATTCGTTGTGAAACTTAGCGGTGCTGAGCATCGCTCAATGGTCCGAGACGGACGGTTCGTTCGGACGGCCAGCACAATGTCTTTAGATAATACACCAACAAATTATTACCAGCGAGGATGCCGGGTTTCTTTCAACAGTGGGCTACCTTGCTTTTTGTCTCAGTTAAACTTCTTTCAACAGTGGGCTACCTTACTTGAACTATGGTGAAATTCTTCTAAATAGTGCTGGCCTGGTTTTGAACATTTTCGTGACGAAGTGGATTTTTCAGTTAAAAGTTTACATACATTTCATGTCTCGCTTTCCCCACAATCCAGCTGTTGGGCAGTGTTTGAGGTATCACGCCGCTGTAGATGATATTTCTCATTCGAACAAATTCAAGCAATCTGTCTACTGAACGTGTCGTTCGTGTGCCTCTAAAACGAGCACCGTCAACGCTTCTGATAGCTGCGTACTTTTAGTAATAGGTGGGGAACGTGTTGGCTGTAAGATTGAGGCTTGGCCCAGCGGGTCGCAGATGTCATGATACCTGAAGAACCCAATCTACACAACCAGTTGAACAAACGTGGCACAGTTTAACTTAACAAATGTAACATAACTTTTTGCTTCCGTATGTTACGTGACGTTTGTTTGGTTTAAAGAAATGTTGCACATTTGAAGATATCGAGGCAAACATCAGTTATGATGAAAAGGCCCACTTGAAACTTTTGGTAAAGTATTTAGCGCAAAAGACGTCTGGATAACAAAATTTTACAATTCAGTTCATATTCTGCTCAATACATCATCGTTTCATTACGATATGACTTTTTATGACGTCAGAGCCGTTGTCAGACTGGCCGTGCCAGAATTGCCACTGTAGCGGACGGGCTGGCTCGCCTGCAGTACTCAAACTCACTCGCCGCAAGGTGGCTGGTTAATCTATGCATGTAAAAAACCGACCATTGCTATGTGCGCGTGTTTTGGTCCTTTCTCCTCGTGTTCTTGTATGTTTTGTCTTGATAGCACATTCGTTATTTGCACTTGCTTGCTCGGCTAGGGCGCTATTTCTAAGTTATTGGATTCAAACCTCATGTTCTTCGTAACTGGTAGATTTGTGCAAACGCCTGTATTATGGTGCTGTTCATGATCGAGACTTGCATTTATTGCGTGGAGTTTATTGAGAGCTAACTGGTGTCCGTTGATGCGACAAGTCCTGCAGACGTACTTCAGACACGAAGGCGTTAATGGCCATTGTGAAGACAAAACTTATGTGACGTTTCTTTGACGTCGTACATCGCTGGGTGACCTGGAGTTAGGCGCGCACTGTGCGCACTGCTTACGCAAGTGTCACTGCACTGCACTGCAAATATGGAGACTCATAAACCTCGGCATGGGCGGAATTCGTGGGGATTCAGCACATTTGTGTTTGCGTGGTACTGCGAAAAATGCAGGGCCTAAAATTCAGATTTTTGGGAATGTGAATCCTGTCACCTTCCACTGGCGGCTGTTATGAACTCCTCAACCCCCACAGTTGAGATGGATAGTTGCTGGTAGCAGGAGCCCAGCGAAGCCGATCCTGATAGGGCTTTCTGTAGTCTTGCTGCGCCAGTCCTCCATTCGTATGCTGCTCGATGGACATCGCAGCCCGCCCGCGTCTCACCGGAGCGCCGTCTGATTTCAGACGTGGCCCAGGGCGGCACCTGCGTGCGCGAGGTGTTCTGGAGCAGCGGCCAGTTCCCCGCCTGGTGGCGGCAGCTGGCCAACGAGTCGGCCGGCGTGTTCTTGGACGCGCAGGCGTTTGAGCTAACTGGCGACGAGACGGCGCTGCGCCAGAGCCTTCTGAAGCTCAGTCGGCGCTACAGGTGGGTGTCGGTGCCCCGCTCAGCCGGCGCATTGAAGTATTCACTCGGCCAGTGTTCAGGTGCGTGTCAGTGTCCTGCTGCGCTACAGGTGGGTGTCGGTGCCCCGCTCAGCCGGCGCATTGAAGTATTCACTCGGCCAGTGTTCAGGTGCGTGTCAGTGTCCTGCTGCGCTACAGGTGGGTGTCGGTGCCCCGCTCAGCCGGCGCATTGAAGTATTCACTCGGCCATTGTTCAGGTGCGTGTCAGTGTCCTGCTGCGCTACAGGTGGGTGTCGGTGCCCCGCTCAGCCGGCGCATTGAAGTATTCACTCGGCCAGTGTTCAGGTGCGTGTCAGTGTCCCGCCCAGCCGGCGCACTGTAATATTCACACGGCTAATCTACAGTGTCAGCGTCCCGCCCGGCCGGCGCACTGTAATATTCACACGGCTAATCTACAGTGTCAGCGCCCCGCCCGGCCGGCGCACTGTAGTATTCATGCCGTGTTTCTACCTTCCATAGTGGCACAAAAGAGCAATAGCTTCCCTTATCATTCCTGCACATTTTCGTGGTACTTGACGTGTTTAATGCCTCACTTGAAAGGGATCGCCTACGTGACTGCTTGACCTGAAAATGAAGGTCTGTAAGTGTTGGCTTTCGTTCAAATGGCCCCAAACATTGCTGCGACCCGCGACAAATATCAAATGCGTTTTGGAGTTAACAGTAAGATGTATTTACGCCGCACAACACCACAGTACGCTCCGTGGGGTATCTAGTCCTGTAGGCCACGACTAACTGACGCGCGGCAGCATACGTGCGTGCTGTTGAAATGATGTGTTGGGTATCCCCCGAGCCGCTGCCACCCATACTGAATTACCGAGTCACAGTCGTATTGTGTCGTATAACATCTTTTGCTTCCCCCTCCCTCCCCCTAATATCCAACGGCAGTTTTGTTTTTGCTGTCAGCTCCGTGCGGGCCAGACCCAGTCCCTCTCAGGCAACAGCCATGCCCTGCGTCAGGTGTTATCGATGCGTCAAACCCCTTTATGTCGGGTTGATAGACGTTTGCTGCGGCCGGTTTCTGTCAGCGGGCGGACTTCGCTGCACCCTGTGTCTTGGGCAGTCCTGCTTGCGAACGATCCTCCCCCTCCGCTATCAGGGGTTGCGGCATGGTCTGTCGCAGGCCCAGTGTAAGTGTCGTCCTCCCTTGCCTCGGATAGCATTGTCGTACCCAGGCGCAGCGCGGTCTGTGTATGGCGGGAGCCTGTCCGGTCGGGGCTGGTGAACGCCGCATCCCGCCTCAGGTCGTGTCTGCGGGCCAGCATGGAGACGGTGTCGGCGACGGACGCGGCCGATGCGGAGATGCAGCGTCAGCTCCTGGACAGCATGGAGATGATCTGGCACCTCTGCGAGATCCTCCTCATCGAAAAGAAGCGAGGTGCTCACCTGGGGCCGAAGTTAATGTCTCATCCCCGAGGCGATGCAGGGCTGTTTGTCCGGATTTGGCTCGGGTATATCGGTGTAGCCACAAGCCGAAGCGCGCATAACATGCAGCTGAAGCGCCCGTGAGACCTTTGTTAACGAGCGAAGCCGCAGGCGGGCTAAGTCTGCCTGAGCAGTAAGACAGTTTTGAACTTCAGTATCTTGGCCCGGCCTTGACGCTGTCTAGGGACAATATTCACTCGTGAGTCATATAGGCCACACCGATGCGACTCACGGGTACGCACTGACGCCAGTTCCACGCAATATTTGGCGAATGCGGTGCTGGAAATGTGCTGCATAGATTGCAGGGCGTTTGCAAACAAAGTGTACGTTAATCAGGTGTCACTTGCCTGCAACATTGCAACTTGAGCAGCTTGTAGCCTCGCTTTCCGTTTAGCGCGCGTGCCGCCGCCTGTGATGTGGGCTGACCGGCTGGACGCTGCCGCCCAGGGGGCGTGGTGCTGTACCAGCTGCTGGACTGGGTGCGCCAGCACGCCACACAGTTCGACAGGGCCGCCGCCCACGTCACCGAGGCAGAGGTGCCAGAGAGCCATCCCGAGTACTGGAACACGGTACGTGCTAGCCGGAGTATGGAAACATGCAAAATATCTTGCCTGCACTGCTGCGCCTGCACGGTGTATAAAATTGATGTGGAATAATCAAGTTAACGGAGCTCAGTTTGGGTCAGGCTGGGCTTGGCTGGGATAAACGTATATTTTTCATGCAGTCATTTTCTGCTTCGACTTTCATGCCTCTCACTAGTTTGCAATCAACTCATTTTTTTCATTTCGGTGCTTATTCCTGCCGATACGATCATGGCACGCAATCCGTGCTGGCAAGGTTACTGGAGCACGGCACGCGCCACGTGATTCCGGTATTGATGTGCGATATATCACACCGAGCGTGTTCGCTGTTACCGGTGGCCGGCTGCTGGCTGCTTTGCTGTCGCTGCTGACATTGATCCTCTGACGGGGGCACTGGGGCGTGAAACGTCACATGTTTCTTGAAGTCGATAGTTAGCGTCGGCTGCGTTTTTGCACGCTCACTGCTATCGGGCGGTCGCCATGTTTTTAAGAATGCTGAAGTGGATGACTAGCATACGGTTGTTTTGGATACCTGATGACTGTGCTTTTAAGTGTATTAGGACATGATGTAACGCGCGGGCTCCGTACCTTACTTTATCTCTTACACGAACACTATTATTTATGTGATTAAAACATTCCGGTGGTGAGCACATTGCGCTAACTTTGTGTTTTTACGGGGCAATGTAGGGACCAGCTCTCGAAAGGTCGTATGAGATCTGTTCCACACTTTGTATGCTATAGCCGACGCCTAAATGTTACAAATTGGCTTGATACGAAGCTGTTCCGTCAAATGGTAACCATTGCGTCCCAAGAGTCCAGTTGCAAGAGTGTTGTTTCCTTTACAAGATAAGTAAAAGGGCTGGAGGGGGGGGGGGGGTGGCAAAAGGATTAAAAGAATCCCCTCCATTTGCATCGTGTTGATACCCTCGTAAATTGCGTCGGGCCTTTGTCCATGGCTCAGTAAATAACAGCAGTGGGGCGGCGTTACGGTAGGCAGCGCTGCTTCCGTAACTATTGCAGCGCTCTTTAAATGAATACTGCTGTTGCACGACCTGCAGGAGGCCCTGTGAACTACCCGACGGTGCCTGAAGGTTTCGGCTATTATCCGCCGAACAAGAATCGCGTGCCGTGGAAAGCACCCAAACGTTACAAGCTGGCTAAGTATGATGCTGCTCCATGAAATGATGCCTAGCACATCCCCGGGAGCTCCGGTATGCTGTACCGCCGCCGGTGTGCTGGAACACTACGTACTAGTTTTTGTGGAGATGTTGACGTGCACACCACCTGCGAAACGATTACCGAAAAGAATTCAGCGGAAATTAGTTGAAGCACATAGGCTGTCAGGGTGACATTTTGTACGGCATTTTGGACATGTTTTGCGGCAACCTCGCCAAAGTCCCGTCTTGCGCCCGAAAGTGGTGTCAAACCGCGCAGCTAGGTCAGGTCCAAATCGGCAAGTAATCGTGTCAAACCGCGCAGCTAGGTCAGGTCAAATCGGCAGGTAATCGTCGCCACCATTGCGTGGCTTGGGGTCGGCCGGCGGGCCTGTACTGACCCGGGGACCAGATACGGTCACCAGACTGCACCGCGCCGGCGGGTCCCGGGACCGGCCAGCATTGGCCACACTCTACACGCGGAACCGCTAGCCGCACGTCCACAGGTCCCAGTTGAACTGACACACGGGGCACCGCCGGTGCGCACTCGCCCGTAACGCAGCTGGGGCTGCGTCCGAGCGTACGCACGTGAGCTGTCGCGTCTTCCTCCCCAGGCCTGCCAGCCCCTCCCGGCTCCGCGCCGTGTGCCGACGGCCGCGCGCAGGCCGGCCGCGTGCGCTCCCCGTCTCGGCGGTCCAGCGCTGGGCGTGGACGGCCGCTGACCGCCGGCCGCCGCCGGCCAGGTATACGGCTTCGTGCTGCAGGGGCGGCAGGACGCGGCGCGGAAGCTGCTGCGCCTGCACGGCAGCTTCGGCACGGAGCCGTTCGTCAGCGCCGACGAGCTGCTGCGCAAGACGCCGGCGGGCGGCGAGGCGAGCGTGGCCGGCTTCGAACTACGCTGGCGCGGCTGGCAGGAGCAGTGCATCCGCCGCCTGGAGGACGGCGAGTTCGGCTTCAGCCCTCGCCTCCAGACGCTGGTCAAGGTGACCGGGCGGAGGCGCACGGGGGGGGGGGGGGGGAAGGGACGGGAGATGGGCGGTCTTGGTTCGGCGTTAGCATTGGGATCGATCAGGGCTTGGCAGAAATGGTGCAGTCGTGAACAGGAGGATTTGTTCATGTGAGTTAGGCGTGTGCGCACTCCTTGCTGGGAGCGATTCACTCGTACCTGGGCTGGAGATGACGCTCACCAGGCGTTGTATTGGCTAACTCCTGGCGTCGGTGTGCCGGCAGATTCTCTGCGGCGACGCTCCGACCTTCGAGGACCTGTACAAGCAGATGGGTTCCTGGTACCACCTCATGGTGTCCTACACCCTGTACTCCCGGCCCTGGGTGGGCATCTCCGACCTCAGGTGCGGTGCGGTACGGTACGACGGCCAGTCCAAGCTGGGGCGTTCGGGCGCGAGGGCGCACTAAGAGTCAACGGTCGTGTGGGATTCGCATGCTGTTAGCGATGACATGGCGTTCAGTGATAGCGTCATGTCGCCGTTTCATTTGCCAACACGTTTTGCCTGCCAGCGACCGTCGGCCGTGTTGGTTACCTGGGAAATGTCGTTGCTTGTGAAGGCCGGTGCCCTCGGTCGGGCGGATAAAGTTCGGAGGGTGGCGCGTCTTGTGCCGGAGGCTGGAGGCGACACCCGGCAGGGGTCCAGCTGCGGTGCCAGCCTGCTGCCGAGCGACGGCTTACGCGGCCAGCCCAGCCGCAGGGCCAATGTACCGCGGCTAACAAGCCTGTGCGATCGGTGTGCACGCAACACATTACCCCGAAGCGTATGCGGAAGGTGCGACAGTAAGTGTGTTGCGAACTTGCGTGATAACTTCGGCAACTTTGCCATTTTGACAGGCGTGCTAGGTGTCGCACTACACAGCCTAGAACCACACGGGCCACTGCTCCAGCCCGTGAAAATCATGCACCACGCGATGGAAACGATACCTTCTTTTGTGACGCTTAGCACATTCGTCAATGAATCACTTGCTCCGCTCACCCATCGGCTGCCACCGTCGTGCCACCCGATTACAAGCAAGCTCCCACTGCGGCACTGGGCGGTAATCGGACTGACGCCCGCGCCGCCTTTGACGGGACGTGCCGGCCCCGACATCTCGCCGCCACCACCCCCGCCGTGACGGCGCCGCCGTCCCGCCGGCAGGGACGCGGCCGAGGACCAGCATCGAGGTGTTCGGCGGCGCCAGGCAGCACTCGGCGCTGGACGCCATGCTGCACGCCGTGGTGGACGGCGACGTGCACACGCTGCTGAAGACGGCGCAGGCGACGCTGCCGGACGGCTGGCTGACGGCGCACCTGGCCGACCTGCTGCACCGGCTGCCCTACGGCGGCGGCGGCGGGCGGCGCACCAGCTTCCTGACCGAGCTGCGCCACCACCTCGTGCTGGAGTACGGCGGAGCGCTGTTCGCGGCCCGGCCGCTCTGGCAGCTGGGCGCCGTCTACCTGGACGGCTGCGGGCCGCAGGGACGGCGCCCGGCTGGCGCTCCTGCCTCGAGCGGCTCGACCCCGACTCCGACCGGCGCGCACGCAAGATCATCGAGGGTGAGACCGACCGCTGGGATGACAGAACGCGGCGGTCGGGGCGGGGGGCGGGGGGCGTCATGTCACGTCGCTGCGGGACGGGGTAGGGTGACGCCACGGCAGCTGAGGCGCGTCAGTGTTTGGGTCAAAAAGCAGCCACCGTCAGCGAGTGGACGGGCGCGCGTGGACGTTAGTTATGGAGCTTTAAGGGCACGTCAGCCATCTTGCTTACTTAAGCCCATGTTTTGTTTTTTAAAAGAGCTGTGTCAGAACTATGAACAGGAACGTTGACACCAGCTTGTCAGCCGCAGTGTGTAACTCATCAGTGCCGCCACCGCAGTGTCAGAGGAGTGCCTCGTCCGCGACGTAACGGCCGCTCGTACGGTGATGACGGGTGGAGCGCCGCACACTGTTATCGCGGCCGCCGCGTGTGTCGCCGCCGCAACCGTCTCCAGCGCCCCTCTCGTGTCGGCCAGGTGGCCGAGCGGCGCGGCCTGACCGAGGTGGCCAGCTCGGTGGCGCAGGTGATGGGCCGGCGCGCGCTGCGGGCCGGCCAGCTGGGCACGGCGCTGGCCTGGGCGCTGCGCTCGGACAGCACGGCGCTGGCCTCGCGGTTAGCCGACACGCTGGTGCGCGAGTACAGCGGCACCGGACAGTTCGCCAGCGCCGACTTCATCGACAACCTCGGCGCCTGTATCCTGAAGAGCGACCGGCTCATGTTTCTCGGTGAGGCGCCGGCGCCAGCGGCGCGCACTGGTGACCGGCCGCGGCCAGGGTGTCGTAGGATCGTCACGACCGCGCAGGACACGAGGAACGTTCGCCTGTTGGTGACTGGAGGTTGTTGAGACAACGCGTGGCGTTAGTGCTGACGTGGATTGGCTCGGGACGACATGGCGGCACTTGGCCACTCGAGGCGTCTCAGGTATTTCCTGAGACTGCAATCTGGGTCACGACCAGTGCAGTTTACTTCGACATGTTTTCAGTTTGTCTGCAATTCGTAATTTGTCGGCAAGACCCGTGTAATCGCTACTTCACGTTTTTTGTTCGTTACGGACGACATGCGACGTTGGCATCTGACTCGCTGAAGGTATCGACCTCCCGCTCCTTGTCGCCAGGTAAATACCGTGAGTTCCATCGGCTCTATGAGGAGGGTAAGATGGCAGACGCTGCCTCTCTGCTCGTCACACTGCTCACGTCACAGCTGGCACCCAAATAGTGAGTCCTGCAGCCACGTTGAGACGCGCACCGTTGCGTGGATAGCTAGCTCGTAACTCTTGTCGTTGTACGGGCCAGCGGCGCGTGTTTCCGTGAGTCGCTGTCAGTTCCCGTCTGGACAAGAAAGGATGCTATCGAACGATCCATTACCGCGCCCCGCTTTAGCCTCGCAACAGCGATCTCCACGCGTTCCTTTGTGAGTCAACTGTACTTAACGCGCACTGCGAAACGTCAGCCGCGGCACGCCTGTTGTGCGTCGGTGCACTTAACACGCGCCGAAAAACTTCAGCTGTGACGGGCTCACCGACGTCCGATCAGAGCCGCGGTCAAACCTTTGTATGGCTGTCGTTTGTCTCGTTGTTGGCCTTTAGGCCGGCTCGATTTCGACGCACTACCGACGCCGGCCCGACCGCTCCATCCGCGATGCTTTCCCCCCCCCCCCCTCACGGACACCATAGCTGTTCGGACGGTTCCGTCCCGTCCTGCCCCCCCCCCCCCCTCTTCGGCGTTTGATGACGCGGGCGCGCCATCGGCAGCTTCTGGATGACGCTGCTGCTGGATGCCGTGCCGCTTCTGAAGGGCGAGGAGGTGGTCATATCGTCCGCACAGACATACGACCTGATCGGCTGCGTGGAGCAGCTGAGGCGGGCTGGTAAGGCACGCGCCCCGCCGAGCGTCGCTGGCCGCGCTCCGGCCCCTGCCTGCTAGGGCGGCTGCATTGTACCCGCACGTGCGTGCGGAGATAATGCCGTGACCGCGCGGCTGGGTCGCTGGGCCGTGATCGTGTGGACGCTGTCAACGTGGAGTGTGGAGCACCGGCCTCCGTTTGTTTGTCGAGCAGGTCAGTGGGAACGTGTTCACGCGATTCATTGTGGAAAGGCAACAGGAACGCATTTTTACCAAGGCATCCAATAGGTACAATAATAACCAATGCATAAAAGGGAACCAAGGCCTTTAAAGGTTGCAGAACATTTTCGTGCGCAGTCAGGTAATGGCTTCTCCCGATTGCCGCTTCTCAAGTGTCTTTTTTGGGGGGGAGGGTAGGGCTAGATCACAGTGAGCGAGACCTGCTCCACCCGTGCCGTTGGATGGTCTAACCTTGCTGTCCTGCGCGATCCGCTCCCGGCCCGGCCGGCCCGGGGTCGGTCGACTTATCTGCGGCCCATCCGAGAGGTCACCATCAGCGCCTCAACCCATCTCATACCTCATGCCTCATGCCTCATGCCTCATGCCTCACACCCATGCGCCCCTGGTTTCGGTGTGTTGTTGAAAAGTGCTGTAGAACCGGCCGAAAATTGATTGACTTGTTCCCAACCGTGTCCACTTTTATTTGTGTTCGTGCGGCGCCGACCCCAGCTGGCGGAGCTGACCGCGCCACGACCCATGCCGTCGCTACCGTCCGTGCTCCGGGCCTCTGACCGGCTTCGTACCCCTTCCGCCCGTGCTCTGGGCCTCTGGCTGGCGGCGTACCCCTGTCGTCTATGCTCCGAGCCCCTGACCGGCCGCGTACCCCTATCGTCCGTGCTCCGGGCCTCCGACCGGCGGCGTACCCCTGCTGTCTGTGCTCCGAGCCTCTGGCCGGCGACGTATCCCAGTCGTTCGTGCTCCGGGCCTCTAAACGATGACGTGCTCGTATCGTCCGTGCTTGGACCCGCGACACGCTCGTGTCGTTCGTGCCGCGCTCTGCCGGCTGAGTTATGGCGCGTGCCGCGCTCTGCCGGCTGAGTTATGGCGCGTGCCGTGCCCTGCCGGCTGAGTTATGGCGCGTGCCGTGCGCTGACCGGTGTTATGTGGATTACAGAAAAACTGGACGAAGACTCGGCCGACGTGAAGCTGATCCGTCTCGCGCTCTCCCACAACCTGGCGCAGGCCATCATCGTCGAGGGCTCGAGCGCCGGCTGAGGCCCTGTTGACGCGGTCGCCATCGTCCAGCCGTGCGTTTGTAAGAAAATACAGTACAACCAGCGCGGTGTCTGTGAGGGCGCGGGAGACTGCCGCCCTTGGAGTCGAGGACGGAGGGGTGGCGACGGCGCCGGACCAGCGTCACAGCTGGGGGTGGGCGGCGACGTGCGGCCGCCGAGCGGCGGACCCACAGCTGCCGGCGCGACACGGCATCGGCGAGGGCAGCCCACGCGGGCGCTGTCCGTCTGCGCCAAGAGAGGAGGTCCCGTCGTCTGCCCCTGTCAGAACCCCCCCCCCCTCCCCCCGCTGACGGTCGGGATCACGCAGTCGCCCGAGCCTCAGGTTATTGAGTCGCGAGCCGATGGTCTAATTTTGACAGCGCGGGCGTGCAAGCCACCGCAATGCTTCCAAACACTGCATATCGCGCGTGACGAGCGATTGAGGTTTGGCCGTTCAGGGGCTCCTTGTTCCGCTTGGCAGGGTGCAACGTGGCCCGCAAGGCCCCGAGTGCCGCCCATGACGACGCCACGCGGCAGACACGCGCGGCCGGCAACCGTTCGGCCGTGCTGTGCCTCGCACAAGGTCGGGCTGTCCGCTGACGACCACGCCATCGCCGCGGCGAGCCGGCCCGAGTCCGGAAGCCAAGCTGCAAACACCTGATGCGGTCGCGGGTGACGCCAGTATATTAAATAAGGTGCATTGAAATGCCGTACAGCGCCGGGCACAACACAGAAGGCCGAACGGGTGCGGAACACTCCGACCGCGATTCTGCGGCCCGGTCGGACGGGGGCGCGTTTCCGCGGCGGCCACACAAGGACGGATCGACGTCAGTTGTACGGACAGGCCGGGCGGCGACGCGGACGCCGGGCGCCAGCGGCGCCGCACGCGCGCGCCGCCGGGAACGCGCATCGGACCTCGCAGCGCAAGCGGCGGGTCCGCCTCCGCGGGGCTGAGCGTCTACAGCGTACCTCACCGTCGGCATCGCGGCGTGCCTTGTCGAAACCCGTGACTGGTGCGGATGGTCTCAGAGGTACAGCAGAATTCTGGTGGGCTTGGACGACCCACACCAGCACCCACCCCCCTCCCAAAAAGACAACCAATCAGCCGCGTTCTACAGAAGGTGGTCAAGGGTACCCGCAAGGGTACCCACTGGTCAAGGGTGCCCGCATGACTTCATACATGGTTCAGAGTTCATGCTTAAGGACG